TGGGGAGGGGCAGGAGAGCTGAACACTCACAGCCCTACATTCATAAATCTTAGAAGTGCAGCATAGCTAGGCATCTGTGTCTCTCACAGTAGAGGGAAATGCTCCAATGACTGGGTTTTTGGATAAAGAAATAGCAGCTGTTGTTCTTTGAGAAAGGATAGCATAGGTGCCTAACTCCAAGGAAGTGCAGAGGAGGGGAATGTAGTTATGTGGTTGTAGCATGACACCAGGTGCCAAAAGAAAGATTCCAGTACTGGATGTGGGATCTTGAGCAAGGCACAGAGATGTTCCATGCCTGAGTGTCCCCATATTTAAAACAAGGGTTGTGAAACATACCTCAGAGCTGTCATAAGGATCATTTTATTGCTGCTGCTAAATCATTTTGAAATCCCTGAATAAAAGGACTAGGGCAGAGCAAAGTATTAATATTTATTAACTGGCAAGTGGAGAAATTGGGGCTTAGCAAGGTAAAAGGGCACTCCACAAGCCAATAGCAGAGCTGGAGAAAATCCCAAACTTTTTACTCGCACTCTAGCACTGTACTAGGCAGTTCTGTGCGATTGCCTTCCAGTAACTCCATAGCTGGGGGAAAATAATTTCTTCCCCTCCACTAATTGTCTAACGAGAGGCAGGCTTTTCTTCAGTGACATCTCTTATTGGACCAACTGTGTAGTTGGGAGGGATCTTAGACAAGCTTTTGGGCACAAGGTACCCTTCCTCAGGGCTGGGTTAATGACAGGTTATTTACCTCTGTCCATGCCTGACAGGTAGACATAGAACACCACAGTGGGAAGCGTGGCTATTACTAATGTGAACATTTGACAAGAGATTCTCTGCAAGCTCTTTGGATTTTACCATAATGACATTTAAAATATTTACAGGCAATCAGACGGCCTAACACAAAATCCACCAGACTCCAAGTGTGGTCTCTACTTACTAAGTCTTCTTACAAACACCTCTTTTACTTAAAGTTAAAAGAATCTCATTCTTAATTCATTTCGAGTGTGCACGAAGGCCATTAATATGAAGGGACTTCAAGCAAATCCATCCTTGTTTTCCCGGCAGCATGAAAGGGACAGGAATTCTAATCCTGGACTGGCCTCCAGACATTGTTTTGCATCCACAGAAGCCTACGTTCCCAAAGGCTCTCCTGATCAAAGACTTTTCTTTTGGGTTTGAAATTTAAAAAAAAAATTTTTTCTATAATAAGAGCCCATTTATATGACTAAATTTGAAATTTACTGCTAAAATGTCACACTTCAGCAGGATTATTTCTTCTTCTGATAGTAGAATTAGAGGGAAGACTGCCGTTTGGATTATCAGACCCTAAAATACTTCTGCTCAACATGCTATTGAGGTTAAACCTTTGGAAGGGGAAGAGTTTTTCTTCTTCTATTAAAGTAAAGCACTCTAAAACCAACATTTTAACTCTTTCAGAGAATAGGCCACTGGTAGCACTGCAATTAAAGCCAGTGCAATAGGTCACTCCCCATTAGTTGGAGTTTGAATTAATTGGGCTCGCTGGGATTTGATCATTTTCCTTCAATGCTACAGTCAAAAGGCAAAACAATTTAGAAATCCAAACTGACCATACCGTTTAGAGACGCAAAGAAACTCCAGGACAAATCCTCAGAGAACTACCTTATTTGAATTAGGAAGAGAAGTCCCCCCCTCTGAATTAAAGGTAGTGGTTCAGTGTTTATTTAAGACATCCATCAGTGTTTTGGCAACTAACAAACCCAAGTGAGAAATTAACCCCAAATCCCAGCTGTTGCCAGTAGATGCTGCAAGTGAAATTTTTAACCAAGAAAATGGCCAAGAGCCAAGCACCATTCATAAGCAAATAGCCAGCACAATAGTGTGATTCATAATCCCCGATTTACACAAGCCCAGAGGTTGGCAAGGCTGGAAAAAAAAATATTTAAGGTTTAGAACTGGGCAAACAAAGTGAGGGAAGAACAGGACAAATGTCAGGGACAACCAAGGGGAGACGAAGAGCAGCACAGGGGAGGCCGGGGAGCTTACCTTCGGTCAGCCAAGTCTCCTGCAGCTGGCTCAGATCCTGGAAGAGGTCTGCAAGAAAAAAGTACGTGGTTCCCCTACTGGAGCCTGGATGCGCCGGGGCTGGACTGGGTGGGAGCACTGGGAGAGATGGGAAA